GGCTGCGGCGGCGGCGGCGGCCGCGGCTGTGGCGGCGGCGTCGATGGCGGCGACCTCAGCTCGAAGTACCCGTGGGGCCTTGGCCGCTGAGCCCAGACCGCGGGCCGCGAGTGTGTGAGGCGTGCTTTTCCCGCCCGCGAGGCGGAGGGGGGAGGTGAGGTGGGGGAGGGATGGAGGGAGCACCCTGTGGAGCCGCCTCCTTCTCCTTCTCATGTTCCTCCTCGGGATCCTCCTCTTCTTTTTCTTCTTCTTCTGCTTCTTCTGCTTCTTCTTCTTCTTCTTCGTCTTCTTCCTCTTCTTCCTCCTCCTCCTCCTCTTCCTCTTCCCCCTGCTCCCTCGCTCTCTTCCCTGGCCTCCTCCCTCCCTCCCTCCATCCGCGGGAGGGAGGAGGGGGGCGGGGAAGTGGTCCAGACCTCCCACATGGGGCCAGACCAGGTGGGGAGGATCGCGCTGCTGCATTGCTAGTGCATCGGCGATGCGGCTCGATTTGGAGCCCGATTCTCTCCACGCCGACATCGCCAATGCAGCGCGACCTTCGGACCCCATCTACAGTCAACTCGCACAGTAAGGATAGGTAACCTTGCCAAGGCTACCCTTGCATCCTTGCCTCCTCGGTCCATCCTTGGCCACTTTCGTTGGCCGCGCCCCGCTCGAAACGCCTCGGAGTGGGCTTCCGAGGCTCTTGCACCCTTGTCGCGCATCCTTACCATACGGGTTGACTGCACTCGGGCCCCATCTGGGAGGCCTCCGGACGGAGGAGAGGCGGGGGGACGGTCTCGCATCCACTCCGGCCCGCGCTGTCACGGTGCCCTCGGTGCCCGTGCCCCCCCGAGCGCCAGCCGCCTCTCCGCCGGCCGCCCGTCTCTGCGTCGTCGGCAAAGGCTCGCCGCCGCCTCTCTCTCAGCAGTCGTCGTGCACGGCGCGCTCTCGTCCCAGACCCCCTGGCGGTGTGAACAAAAAACACGACGTGAGGCTTTTCGCTCTCGTCGGCCTCCGGGGGGGCCTGGCCAGGCCTCGGGACCGTCAGAGAACGACGCAGGATGGAGAGCCGGTCCTGGGGAAGGGGTCCAGACCTCTGGGGGTCGACGCTGCGAGAACATCACGACGCCGGGTGTCTGGGATGCCCCCGTCCGGAAGGCAAAAACAGCAAGGCCAGCAGGTCGAAGGTCCGCGCGGATTTCCCGCGCCGGCGCCCGAGCCCACTTCGGTCTCGAGAGGGGCTCGATGTTTCCCGGGTTCTTCCGTGCGTCTTCCTCTGGCGCTGCTCGTTCCTGTGGGCGCAGCCGAGGCCCCGAAGGGGCTTCCGTGAGTGCTGATGGCTTCTTGACGCCCCGGGACATCAGGCGACGTGATTTTTTCGCAGCGTGGCTCCCACGCTGGCCCCTTCCCGGGGACTGGCCCTGCATCCCGAGCCGACTGTGAAGTCGGGCCTGTCCCTCCACAGGAGGAGTATCCAAAAACAGTTTAGAAATAGTCTGGGGACGATTCTAAGATTCTTTTTGACTATTTAGGGTTTTTTTCAGTATTCTTAATTTTTTTCCCCCAAGCCCGCCTGTAGGGGGGCGTGCCCGACTTGAGCCCACTGTTGACGGCCCCTGGGCCAGCGAGGGCCCCTGCGCGTAGAAACTTGCCCCAGAGCCTTCTGCCGTGGTTTCTCCACACAGCGGTGAAATCTCTCGCAATAACCCAAAACGCGACCCCAAGTTACCACTTTGTTGGAGGCTTCGAAATTGGCACCAACACCAAAACCAGGGGGGTGCGCCCACTGGGGGAGGATGATCATGGACTTCGGTGTCGGCGGCAATGCTTCGGCCGCCTCAGTAGGAAGCCAGAACTACTACCACCATCACCGATGTCGGGCTCATCTCCCCTCGGTGGAAGCACACGGCCGATTTTGTTGTTGGTGCCAACCTCTGGGCCTGCCACTCCGGCTCTTCTTGCCCGATCGGTCAACTTCCACCCTGCGACCGCCCTGTGTGGTCCAGGCTCGGGCCTCTGGCGGCCGCTCGGGACGGTTCGGGCACTCCCAGGGACGCTCGGCGAGGCGAAGCCTGAGGCCCGTGTTCCGATTTCGGGGAGCCTCCAGGGAGCTGCCGAGAGCGCCAGGAAATCGGTATCGTTTCACCAATCCCCATCCCCATCCCCATCCCCTTCGAGACCCACACCACATTACCACCCCAGTTGGGGATGCACCCCTCGAAGCCCGAAGGGAACGGCCTGTATCCCCATCTAGGGGGTCAGATCGGCCAGTGGGGCTCAGGAGAAGCCTCCAACGGCCGCGACGACGACCCGCCCGCCATCAGCTCGTCGTCGCCGCCCTGCCGGAGCGCCTCGTCCGCGCCCGCGCCGGACAGGGGCCCGTGCCGAGCCCGCACTTCTCGACGCTGCGCGGGTCCCCCAGCGGCAGGCCTCTCCGGGGCCCGCTGTCTCGATTACCGCTCCGGCTCTCTGCTGCTTCCCGCGCTGTCCTTCGCCCCCGCGTCCGTGGCCTCCTCGCGACGTGAGAGAGAGCAAAGACCCTCAGACTGCTTTTGGCCACTTGCGGCCCTCACCGGGCCGCCAGGCTGTCAAAAGACGACTCGGGATGAGAAGCCAGTCCCCGGAGCAAATCCAGAGGTCATGGCCATCATGGGAGAGTCAAGACAGCGAGTGCCAACTGTGGTGAGGTGGATCCGCTTGGAGGTAGCAGCTATTTGAGTAATTTAGAACTTACACCGGCGACGAGGCATTCCGCAGTCCCATAGTGTTATGGATGCCCTTCTCGGCCAATCGTGATTGATCAGGGGAGGTTTAGACTTCACTGTCTCGTCCAAGGCGAGAATTGCCATTACCATTGGAAACATGCAGCAGCACCCATTCCAGTCCTGTTCGCCGTTCCGGTTGGCGACCAAAAGCCTGGCTGATGATATGTTCCAAATCGGCATCATGGAATCGCATATAAACTAGAATGACGCCACTGAAATTCACAGTGAGCATGAGTAAGGGAAACATGACCTGCAGGAGGAGGAACATGAAAAGCCGCATTGATGCTACGAATGTGCTGTCCAGTTCCGGCGCCCAACCAGGTGCAATGCTAAGTCTAAGCGCTGCGAGCGATTATCGTTCATGTCAACATGCCGTGGCCAAGGCACTGGGAGATGCCGTTTCGAGCCCCCAAGCAGCCCTCGCATCATTTTGGTATTTTGTGTAACTGAAGGCGCCGAACCAATCAGTGGGCTCGAGCTTGGAACACGTAGTGGTTCCCAGGAGGCGACGGGCTGTGCGACGGATGCGGCGGAACAGGGTCCGACGCAGACGGGTGAAAGCCATATGCGACGAACTGTTAATTGATGCAGTCGAAACCGACAGTCAGGATGGGCAACCCCTCCAGGGGCACCCTTGCATCCTGGCCTCTTCGGTCCGTCCTCAACCACTCTCGATGGCCAGCCCCGCTCGGAAAGCTTGGACATGGGCGTCCGAGGGGCTTACCCGGGGGCCGAGGTGTGGCCACCGCCCCTGCCCGCGCACCTTGTGCCGGACCAGCCTGCTTGCAGGGGTGGTGCACAGACGTCGTGTCCCCAGGGGATGCCATTCGTGTGCACAACTCCGCTCTGCGGTCTTGTGCCAGACCAAGCGTGTTTGTGGGGGTTGTGTGCAGACATCGCGCCCCCACTTGCATCCTTGTCGCGCATCCTTACTGCCAGTAGTGTCTGGTGGCGCTTCGGAAGGCAGGGTGATGCCCGAGCGGCCGGGCAAGGGTACCTGCAGGTGCTGCGGCGGAGCGCACACACCGGCCGGGTCAGATAGCGCCGCAATCTTGAGGCAGAGGAGCAGGAGGAGGAGGAGGAGGAGGAGGGAGGAGGAGGCGGGAGGAGGAGGAGGGAGGAGACACGCCCTCGCGTCCCAGAGCCTGTGCAGGGACCGTTGCTGGGAAGAGGCGGAGGGGGGGATGCGCGCTTCCAGGGGAGGGCCGGGGGGAAGGCAGCGGGGACCCGCCCGAGGAGAGCTGCGGGCGGGGGGTGGGGGCGAGGGGCCCACGCACCTGGCGGCTCGGCTGGCTCGAGACGCGCGGTCCCCCGGGACCTCGCGGCCCAGCGCCGAGGGGTGGGGGGCGGCTTTCGATCCCGCGTCGTGCTCGGAGGGTCCCCGGGGTGGCGGCGGGCGGGCCTGCCAGGGTTGAGGTCGAGGGAGGCCTGGCCGTGCAGCTGCCTCCTCGTGCTGCCGGGCGCGCGTCGCGACGCGATCTCAGCGGGCGAAGATCGGGCCGGGCGAAAGGGGGGATCAAATGGGGGGCGAAAGCGGGGGATAGCAAATGGGGGGCCGGGCGAAAGGGGGGATAGTAAATAGGGGGGGATAGCAAGGGGGGGATAGCAAATGTGGGGATAGCAAATGGGGGATAGCAAATGGGGGGATAGCAAAGGGGGCGAAATGGGGGGATAGCAAAGGGGGGTTTGAGAATCAGCTCACGTAGCTAATTTTCCCGGCGCCTCCCGGCGCCTGGAGGAGGCGCCCGTGTATCGAGGAATGGGCCCGGCGGCGGGGCCGAAACCAGCTGCATGCAGCAAATTTCGTACCCCCCCTTTCTCTATCCCCCCTTTCGTTCGGCCCGAGAAGAAGGGCATCGGGTAAACTTTTCCGCCGCCCGGGGTGCGCCTGCCCCATGGCGGCTGGAAAGTGTAGACCCTAGCGGGCCACTGTAGGCAAGGGCGGGCAACAACGCCCCTGCCATGGTTTGCTAGGCGCTGCGCGCTGAACCTCCTGTGGACTGTCGGGGTAAACACTCCGTATCGCGCGTGTTGCGCGGCGTCCTGGCGGCTCTCTGGCCTTCGGTAGCTCCCAGGAGGTTTACAGACCACGCACTTGGAACCCAGGGTAGCGGCGTTTTTTTTCATCCTTCAATGTGGGGTGTAAACTTTCCAGCCGCCCCAGGGCAGGCGTCCCCGACGGCGGAACATTTAGTTCTACCGTTCTTCGCTCCCAACGGGTCGAGGGAAACCTGGCCGTGCCGTTTTCTTTTGACTACTGAGCCGCCAGATGTCCACGGACCTGAGTCGGGCACACGCCAGCATGGATCGGGGATCCGTGGATCTGGCAAGCGGGCGCCGAGTCCACGCGTCGGGGAGGTGCCCCCCGAAACGTGAGGCCCGTGCCGCCAGACTTGGCGACGGAGCGCAGAGGTTCTGTGCGGAAGCGGGGCGACGATCGCTAATCCACGCGTCGCCAATCTATGTTTTTGCGCTTCCTCGACTCGGGGCGCCAACTAGGCCTGCACCGCTCCTGGCCAGGTCCACCATTCTGGGCCCAGGATCGGGGCGTGTGTGCCCCCGCGGGCCAGGCCGGGAAGGCTCATGTCGCGAAGCAGCTCTAACCTCGCGGAACATCACGACTTCGAGCCCTGGGCCCCATCTCTCTGCTGTAGTTTTCGTGCCGGATCGATGTGTGATGGCTGCTCGGTGGCCCGACACCGAGCGCGAAACAGCCCGGGGCGACAGAGCTGCAGCGCCAGGAGCTCGGGTGTGCGCCGATCCCGGGCTCAGGACCGGCCTGTCGAGGGAGCCCCCGGTGGGCCCTTCCCCCTCTTCGACGCTGCCTCTCAGGAGAGGCTCGAGGGAGAGCCTCGGGGGTCCCGCATGGATCCCTCGCCCCCGTGCCATTCAGCCGTCGTGGCCGCCGCAGCGGAAGCGAAGCACGATCTGGCGCCTGTTCTTCTCGGACTCGTCGGGGCCGTGTGCGGTGGCGAGCGCAGCAGAAGAAGACTCCGAGCAGTGGGGCTCACCGGGAGGAGGATGAGGAGGAGGAGGAGGAGGAGGAGGAGGAGGAGGAGGAGGAGGAGGAGAGGAGGAGGAAGAGGGGGAGGAGGGAGAGGGATGAGGAGGGAGGAGGAGGGATGAGGAGGGAGGAGGAGGGAGGAGGAGGAGGAGGAGGAGGAGGAGGAGGAGGAGGAGGAGGAGGCGGAGTAGGAGTAGGAGGCGGAGGCGGAGGAGGAGGAGGAAGCGGAGGCGGAGGAGGAGGAGGCGGAGGAGCAGGAGGACGAGGGATGAGGAGGGATGATGATGATGCTGCTGCTGCTGATATGGTAATGATGATACTGATGATGATGATGATGATGATGATGATGATGATGATGATGATGATGATGATGATGATGATGATGATGATGATGATGATGGTGATGATGATGATGATGATGTTGATGATGATGATGCTCATGATGATGATTCTGATGATGATACTGATGATGACGAGGATAAGGACGATGCTGATGATGATGAGGATGCTGAGTATGACGATGATGATGGTGCTGCTGATGATGATGCTGATTCTGATATTGACGATGCTAATGATGATGATGATGATGATGATGATGATGATGATGATGATGATGATGAGGCTGCTGTTGCTGCTGTTGCTGTTGTTGTTGATGATGATGATGCTCATGATGATGATGACGATGATGATGATGATGCTCATGATGATGATGAGGATGATGATGACGATGATGATGATGATGATGATGATGAAGAAGGTCATGATGACACTGGTGGTGGTGATGGTGATGATGATGATGACGATGATGATGATGATGATGATGATGATGATGATGATGATGATGATGATGATGATGATGATGATGATGATGATGATGATGATGATGATGATGATGATGATGATGATGATGATGATGATGATGATGATGATGATGATGATGATGATGATGATGATGATGATGATGATGATGATGATGATGATGGTGGTGATGATGATGATGATGACGATGACGATGCTGCTGATGATGAGGATGAGGCTGCTGCTGCTGATGATGAGGATTATGATGATGATGATGATGATGATGAGGATGAGGCTGCTGCTGCTGCTTCTGCTGCTGCTGGTGATGATGATGATCAGGCTGATGCTGCTGCTGATGATGACGATGATGATCAGGCTGATGCTGCTGCTGATGATGACGATGATGATGCTGATGATGATGATGATGGTGATGAGGCTGCTGTTGCTGCTGCTGTTGTTGATGACACTGGTGGATGATGATGATGATGATGATGATGATGATGATGATCAGGATGATGATGACGATGATGATGATGATGATGATGATGATGATGATGATGACACTGGTGGATGATGATGCTCATGATGATGCTGATGATGATGATCACAATGATGATGAGGCTGCTGTTGCTGCTGCTGCTGTTGATGATGATGATGCTGCTGGTGATGATGATGATGATGATGATGATTATCATGATCACGCTGGTGGTGATGATGATGACACTGGTGGATGATGATGATGATGATGATGATGACGATGCTGATGATGATGATGACGATGCTGATGCTGATGCTGATGATGATGATGATGATGATGATGATGATTGGGCTGCTGCTGATGATGATGATGATGATGAGGCTGCTGCTGCTGATGATGAGGATGAGGCTGCTGCTGCTTCTGCTGCTGCTGCTGATGATGATGATGATGATCAGGCTGATGCTGCTGCTGATGATGACGATGATGATGATGCTGATGATGATGATGATGATGGTGATGAGGCTGCTGTTGCTGCTGCTGCTGCTGTTGTTGATGATGATGATGCTGATGCTGATGATAATAATGATGATAATAATGATGATGATGATGATGATGATGATGATGATGATGATGATGATGATGATGATGATGATGATGATGATGATGATGATGATGATGATGATGACGATCATGATGACACTGGTGGATGATGATGATGATGATGATGATGATGATGATGATCATGATGACACTGGTGGGTGATCATGATGATGATGATGCTCATGATGATGATAATGATGGTGATGATCATGGTAACACTGGTGGATGGTGATGATGATGATGATGATGATGATGATGCTGATGCTGATGCTGATGATGATGATGATGATGATGATGATGATGATGATGATGATGATGATGATGATGATGATGATGATGATGATGATGATGATGATGATGATGATGATGTGATGATGATGATGATGATGATGATGAGGAGGAGGAGGAGGAGGAGGAGGAGGAGGGAGGAGGAGGAGGAGGAGGAGGAGGAGGAGGAGGAGGGACGGCCCGCCTTCTGCCTTCCTCGGCCTGGGTCGCGCCCACATGCGCCCAGTTGCCGAACCGACCAGGCTCGTGACTGTCGCGTCCTGACAACCCTGAAGCCACATTTTGAAAACGGGCCGTCCTCCATCCTGGACGAATGTGCGCGGCGCTGAGGCGAGAGCCACATGTTGAAAACGGGCTGCCTTCCGTCCTTGAAGTGGTTGCAGATTTCACAAGCTTCAGGATCATGAGTGGTAAGGAATTCTCAGGCGAAACGCCCGGCCATTAGGAAAGAGCATGGAGGCGGAAGAGGAGGAGAGGAGGACGAGGATGACGAGGATGACGAGGAGGCATGGGGAGTGTGGAGGAGGTGGAGGAGGAGGAGGAGGAGGAGGAGGAGGAGAAGTTCGAGGAGTTCGAGGAGTTCGAGGAGGAGGCACGAGGAGGAGCCCGACCGGTACAGGCCCTCGCCTCCAGGGAGCCCCGCGCGCGGGCTGCTGCGGGAGCAGGCGTCGCCAGGCGCGCCACAGCCTGCGGCGCAATCACTATCATGATCTCCTCCCTGTCTAGACCCCTTCTCTTTTTGTGCCTGTTTTTCTGTCTGCCTGTGTATCTTCCAATCGGCAGCCGTCAGTCAATCAATCAGTCAATCACTCAATCATTCAGTCAAAGTATTCTCTCTCTCTCTCTCTCGCTCCCTCTGACTCTCTCACGCACACTCCCTGCCCCCGCCAGGGCCTGGGCAGAGTAAGCCTGCATCTGGAGCATGTCGGCGGGACGGGATTCTGAGTCCGGGCCGGTTTCCTTGGGCTCTTTGGATCTTGATGACAGAGAGCTTCGGATGGCGGTGCCCTGGTTCTGCTTGGCTGAGGATGGGACGAGAGTTAGGTCGGGCATGTCCCCCTACAGGGCGCTTCTGGGCGAAAAATTCAAAAGGCCCCAAACATACCCCCAAATGATCAACAAACCTTCAACAAATCGTCCCCATATCATTCTTTACTATTTTTGAATATGCCTCCTGTAGAGGGACAGGCGCGACTTAAGAGGAGAGGTGATCGGCACGGAGCGTGCGGCAGACAGGGTGTGCGGGGAATCGATGGGCTGGGGGGGGGCGGGGAGGGAAGGCGGAGGACGCGGACTCAACGCCAACACCGATGCTGCCTACAGTTAAGTCGGGCCTGTCCCTCTACAGGAGGAAAATTCAATTACAGTCAAAAATAGTCAGGGGACGATTTTTCCCTACCTAGGCTCTGCCTAGAGGGTTCTGACTTTGTTTGGTTAAAGGGGCCGGGCAGTGTAGGCCGCCCCGGGCGGTTCCCTCAGTCCCCGCCCCGCGGTTCCCCCAGTTGCGACCCCTGGGTTCCCCTAGCTTAGCTTAGCTTAGCTTAGCTTACCTTAGCTTAGCTTAGCTCAGCTGAGCTTAGCTTAGCATAGCTGAGCGTAGCCTAGCCTAGCTTAGCTTAGCTTAGCTTATCTCATCTTAGCTTAGCTGAGCTTAGCTTAGCTTAGCTTGGCTTATCTTAGCTGAGCTTAGCTTAGCTTAGCTTAGCTTAGCTTAGCTTAGCTTAGCTTGTTTCATCTTAGCTTAGCTTCGCTTAGCTTGCCTCATCGTAGCTTAGCTTAGCCTAGCTTAGCCTAGCCTAGCCTAGCCTAGCCTAGCTTAGCTTAGCTTAGCTTCGCTTAGCTTAACATAGCTTAACTTAACATAGCTTAGCTTACCTTAGCTTAGCGCAGCGCAGCATCGCGCAGCGCAGCATTAGCACAACACAACATAGCATATCATAGCATAGCCACACATAACATAGCATATCATATCATAGCATAGCTCAGCATATCATAGCATAGCATAACAAAGCGTAGCATATTATAGCATATCATAGATGCAGGTGTATATGTAAATGTAGCTATCGGTGTAGATGTAGATTCTGCTTTCCTAAATGCTCCAACTCCTAGGTAGGGTCGCACTGGGATAACTTGATTCTTTTTGATGATTTCCGGGTACTTGTTTGGGTATTTTTATTTATTCGTCCAAAATTCGCCTGTAGGGGGACATGCCTGACCTAAGCCCACAGTCAACCCGCACAGTAAGGATGAGCAACTCTCCAAGGTCACCCTTGCATCGGGGGCCCCGAAACGGGGTGGTGACCACACCGTGTGGTGAGTCGGTGGGGATTCGGGGTCACCCCGCACGGTTTTGGAACTCGAGTCCCTCTCCAAGGACGTCTCGGGCGACCGGGGCATCCGATGTCCCAAAGCCGTGTGTTGACGGACCGTGCGGTGAGGTCTTGGGGGGGATTTCGAGGTCACCGCACGGTCTGTCACCGCACCGTTTCGGGATTCCAAACTGTATCTTTCCACTTCGGCCCATCCTTGGCCGAGAGTGTCGACGTGGCCTTCCAAGGCCCGTGCATCCTTGTCGTGCGTCCTTATTATAATACGGGTCGACCAGAGGCCCACATCGAGCCCAGGATCGGCGCACGCGCCCTCCTGGCCTGGCCAGCACAATGCGCGCTCACCAGTCCTGAGCCCAGGAGAGGGGCCTGACCAGGACGGGTGTTGGCGCATGGTTGGCGTCCTCCTCGGGAGGGGAAGGGGTCCAGGGGAAGGGCGAGAAGGAGACATGGCATGTGGACCCACATTTCCGACGTCGCGCTTGTTTCGCGGCGCGGCTCCCCGGAAGTCTGGGCCTCTTCCCAGGGACCGGCTCTCCATCCCAGATCGCCTCTCTTCACCTTCCCCAGGCACGGCGAGGGCCCCAGGGGGCCGATCAGTGCTTCAGCAGTTCCCGCCATGTCTTTTTTTGGTTCTGGGCTCCCGACGCGAGGAGGTCGGCGGAGACGGGAGGGCGAGGGAGGTGCGCTCCTCGCTGTGCGACCAGGCGATGAGTGGATACCCAGGGGGGCCGCAGCGCCCCGCCGGGAAGTGGACGATTCCCTCCAAAAAACCTTTGGGTGCGTCGTCGGCGCCGAGGCCGCCAGGCCGCTAGAGGCCGCAGCCGGCGGCCCAGGCGAGAAGCCGGTGTCTTTCCCTGCCCGCTCTGTCTCGGCCACGCGCGGGGGGGGGTAGGGGGAGGGGCGCGAGCGTGCTGGGTTGTGGAGGAGGAGGAGGAGGAGGAGGAGGAGGAGGAGGAGGAGGAGGAGGAGGAGGAGGAGGGAGGAGGAGGAGGAGGAGGAGGAGGAGGAGGAGGGAGGAGGAGAGGACGAGGAGCGGAGGAGGAGGAGGAGGGAGGAGAGCAGGAGGAGGAGGAGGAGGAGGGGAGGCGGAGGAGGAGGAGGAGGAGGAGGAGGAGGCGGAGGAGGAGGCGGGAGGAGGTGGAGGTGGAGGTGGAGGCGGAGGCGGGGGCGGAGGAGGAGGAGGAGGAGGAGGAGGAGGAGGAGGAGGAGGAGGAGGAGGAGGAGGACAGGTGTAAACCCAAGACTCATCAACGATGTTGGACTCAAGCTCCCTCTTCAAAGGTCCCTACATGGGTTCGTGTCCACTGAGGGAAATGCCCCGTTGGGAGACAGCTGTGTGAAAATCCTGAAGCGTGCCAAAACACCTTTCTCAGGACTTCAACGCCACAGGTCAACCTGACTGACGCGTCTTGACGATCCTGAATCGTGCCAGATTGCATCCCTCTGACTTCAACACCGCGGATTAACGTAATTGTTGCTCCCTGACAATCCTGACTCGTTCCCAAATACCCTTTCTGGTACGATAGCCATGATAATCAGTGACACTCATGCGAAGTTTTGAAACTAATGTGCGCGGCGCTCAGGCGAAGCCGCATTTTTGAAAACGAGCCGCCTTCAATCCGAGAAGCTCTTGCAACCTTTTACAGCGAATGTGTGCGGCGCGAAGGCGGGTGCCATATTCTGAAAACGAACCGCGTTCACTCCGTGAAGCTCTTGCAGACTTTTCGAGTGAATGTGCGCGGTGCTAAGGCGAGAGCCACATTTTGAAAACGACCCGCCCTCAATCCGTGAAATTCTTGCAAACTTTTCAAGCGGATGTGCGCGGGGCTGAGGCGAGAACCACATTTGGGAAACGACCAGCTCTCAATCCATGAAACTCTTGCATTTTTCAAACGAATGTGCACCGCGCCAATACCAGAGCTGCATTTTGGAAGCGACCCGCCCTCCATAAGTGAAGCTGTTGTCAGATTTCCTTTTTGAGGTTCATACATGGTAAGGAAGTCTCAGGCGAAATGTCCGGCCCGCCCTTCCGACTGGCTTCGGGGTGCGGCAGGGAAGATTTATTCATGAGGAAAAGGATGGAGGAGGAGAAGGAGGAGGAGGAGGAGGAGGAGGAGAAGGAGGCGGAGGAGGAAAGGGAGGGAGGGGGAGGGGAGGGAGGGGGAGGGGAAGGGAGGGGTGGGTGGGGAGGGGGAGGAAGGGGGGTGGGAGGGGGAGGGCGCGCCGAAGGAGAGCTGCGAGGTTACCCTAGCATTCTCCCGCTTCGTAGAGGCACCCCTGCTTCTTAGCAGGCGCGGGCCTCACTTATAGATGCAGGGCCCACGCCGTCTAAGGCGGCCTCTTCATAAGAGGCCTCCCCCCTCCCCCTTCCCCTCCATGTTCAGAAACCTGGCGAAGGCTGGCAAACATGTGGCTGCTGAAACGGAGCTCCGGGACATTGTTTTTCTTCCGGGAAGCAGCCCGTTTACTATTCAGTGCGCTGGGCTTTCTTCTGGGAATTTGTGTTTTTGCCTCTGGGAAAACCGTTTTAGCAGCCACGGATTTGCCAGCCCTCGCCCAGATTCCGACATGTGCGCGCCGCTGGCTGCTCTTGAATCGTTCGGGCTCTTCTGCTTGACGCTTCTGCCGTGGCCCCCCTGCCCTCCCCCCCCGAGGCGAGACGAGGCGAGGCGAGGAGGTCAGTGCAGGGGTCGACCCAAACGGTGTTTTGGCGATTTCGTGGGCCGCTTTCATGTCGGCTTCGCTTTGCAGCAACGGCGGAGTGGAGACAGAACGAGGGACAACGAAGACAGAACGGAAACGAAAAACACTGTTGAGGTCGATCTCTCTCGCCCCTCTCTCTGACGCCTGTGCTCCTGCTCCTCCGCCTGCTCGCCTTCGTCCTCTCCCTCTTCCTCTCCCTCCTCCGTCTCCTGGTCGTCTTCGTCCTCTGCTTCCCTTTGCTCCTCCTCCTCTCCTGCTCCTTCTCCTGCTGCTGCTCCTCCTCCTCCTCCTCCTTCTTCTCCTCCTCCCCCTTCGCCTCCTCCTGCTCCTCCTCCTTCTCCTCCTCCTCCACCTTTTTTTTCGTTACGCGGACTTTCGCAACGAAGCTGTAGCGTTCTTAACCTTTCTCCTCCTCCTCCTCCTGTTCCTCCTCCTCCTCCTCCTCCTCGTCCTGCTCCTCGTCCTGCTCCTCCTCCTCCTCCTCCTCCTCCTCCTCCTCCTCCTCCTGCTCCTCCCCTGGCCCTCCTGCCTGCCACCCCCCCTCACGCAGACGCGCCGGTTGGCAGCGAGTGGAGCGGCTCTGCGGGCTCCCAGCCGTCTCCGGCGTCACCCGGGTGCGCCCTGGGGAGGGAGCCGCCATGAGGGACATGGGCACTGCAAGGGAAGGGCGTCCATTGAAGAAGAATCGGGCGACGAGGTCTACACGTATCCACTGCTCCTGGCCAGGCCTATCCTGGCCATGCCTATCCTGGGTCCAGGAGCGGTGTGTATGCTACTTTGGCCAAGCCAGGAGGGCGTACGCACTGCTCCTGATCCCAGGATGGGCCTGGCCTTGAGCAATGGATGCGTGTAGACCTCGTCGCCCTGAAAACTCTGCATAAACACAAACTTTCGACGGTCCGCGCGGATTTCTTGGGTCTGCGCTGGACCCCGCCCCTGGCGCGCTCCGCGCGCCAGTGAGGAGGTCCAGCGCCGATCCAAGACATCCTCGTGGACCTCCGAAAGTATATGTTGCCGTTTCGACTTTCTCTACATCGTCCAGAGGCCTTCTCCCGTTTCTGACTCTGGTGGGGGCTGCTCCCGGGCCACGGGGGCCGTCCACCGAGCGACTCTCCGGGGGGTCCCAGACGGTCCACACCGCGTGGTGAGCCGGTGGGGCTTCGGGGTGACCGCATGGCTTTTGGGCTCGGGTCGTTCTCTGAGGACGCCTCGGGCGACCGGGGCCTCAGGGCCCCAGAAGCGTGCGGTGGCGGACCGTGCAGTGAGGCCTTCTCGGGCATTCCGAAGTGGCCGCGCGGCCTGTCCGCGCACCGCTCCGGGACGCCAGAGGCTCAGGGCAGAGGCTTCTGGCCTCAGGGGGGGAAGCCCCAGGCCTCCAGGCTGTGTGCGCAGGGGCCCGTTCTCTTCGTGGGAGGAGAGGCTGGGCCTTCCCCACCCAGGCCCCAGGCGTTCGGCTTCTGGGCCAGGGCGTCATCTGCCGCATGACACTCCGCCCCAGAGAAGAGTTCGGCCGACTCAACTGCGGCCGGACGTTGGAGAGGAAGGACCGCATCGGTTTCGGAAGGGGCCCAGGTGTTCTCGGGTCAGCCCTGAGATTTTGTTTGCCCTGGCACGCCTCGTGAATCCAGGCCCATGGAAGGTTTCTTACGGCAAGAAAGTGGCTTTTCTCCAACTTTGCTGGTCGGATCCTGTCACTGTCAGGCTGATGATGGGTTCGATGGTCAAGCTTCCCCTCCACCCACTATCAACTCGACCACCAAAACGAGGATCATGATTAGACCGACGATGCGCGAGGAGTGTGTTCGGATGCCACATCTTGACAGGAATCATGCTTTCGCGAAGTCGAAGAGCAGGAGGATGAGGAGGAGGACGGAGGAGTATTCGGAGGGGGAGGAGGATGAAGGGGAAGGAGGGGGGAGGGAGGCGAGAGGAGGAAGTGGAGGAAGTGGCTGGCACACGAGCCATGGAGGGAAGAATGCGACATCGGTCATTGAGGGGAACAGCTGGAGTGATGTCAACAGTGCAACACCAACAACGCAGACTCGGGCATCTGATTCTGCCAACCTCATTGTGATAAAGTTGAGCACGCTTCTTCGGCCTTCGTGTTGTTGGCTCTTCTTCTCTAGTTGCTCATCCACGATGCCGAAACGGCAACACAGTCACGGAACGCTGTCACGGCAGCATGCCGAACGACGTGGGTGTAAGTGCACATTTGACGTGTGTGTGTATGCGTATCAAGGGTGCATCATAGTCAGGGTGCGTATCGCCTGGAGGACCTCGCCCTTTGCCGCCGCCCTACTCCACTGTGATGGATTCGTGGCTCCAGGACGGTTGGGTTGGAATCGCTCGTGGACGTCCTTGGGTGGGGCGGGGGGCATCTTCGAGCTTTCTGTGGCAGTCTTGGGCAACCTTGGGCAACCTTCGGGCTTTCCGAATGCAATCGTCGATGCTGTCTGGGATCACATTAAAGTGGGCTCTCCTTCTGGGGCCATGTGGAGCCATTTTTTGGCCTCTTGGCAGCATCGCGGTACCTCTGGTGGCCACCATGGGCAATCTCCGAGGTTCGCCTTGGGGCCTCTCGGGACCATCCCGTGGCCTCGATGGCGATCTTTCGAGCGTGGGCTTCTTACAGGCATCCTGGACGACCCGCACATCCAGTGCACATATGAGGCACACATCCTCTTTGCCAGCATGTACCTGCATCAATGACTTCGTGCACTTTCGATGTGCGCTCTACGCAGTACAATAGATGGGGTCCAGTGCAGGAGGTTCAGTATGATGATGGCGCCCCAGTGATGCCACAACGTTGCGGTGCAAGCTATGCGGTGCAGCTTACGAGGCGCAATCTATGTGATCCAATCTAAGTGGTGCAGCCTATAGTGGAGGCCCATGCCAAGAAACACCCTGCTTGCCTCCAGGGTGCTCTGTGTTGCTTGGGTTTCGATTGTTTTTTCGATGGAGAGCGCGACGTTTCCATACTCAAAATCCATGGGCGTCCTGGGGTCTCAGGGTTGGGCTTCTTGTGAAGGTTTCTTGTGGTCGTGTCCCTACCGTAAGCTATGCGGTGCAACGGAGTGGTGCAGTCTAGGGGTATAGTCCACTTTGCCCGTCTTCAAGCTGTCCTCTCCACTGCTCGCGCAAACATCCCACCCACCCACCCGCAACTTGGTTTGCAAAACCTCTTCAGACCGACTACGACGACACCGACGACAACAACTAGGACGACACCGACGACGTCTCCGACGACTTCGACGACGACAACGACGCCGACGCCGACGACGACGAAGACGACGACGACGACGACACCAACGAAGGCGACGACGAGGGAGGAGGAAGGACGACGACGGCGACAACGACGACAACGACGACAACGACGAGGGAGGAGGGAGGACGGCGACGACGCGAACGACGACGACGGAGGAAGGACGGCGACGCCGACGACGACAACGACGAGGGAGGAGGGAAGACGACGACGACAACGACGACGACGACGGCGACGAAATAGGAGGGACGACGACGAGACGCCGACGACGGACGACGACGACGTGGGAGGAGGAGGAAGGACGACCACGGTGACAACGACGACGGAAACGACCACGACGCCAAAGAGGACGACGACGAACACGAGAAAAGACAGAGGACGACGTAGGCGACGACGACGACGACGACGCGGGAGGAGGGAGGACGGCGACGACGACGACGCAAGAGCGCGCGCTCGCACGCTTTTGTTTAAAATCCGTGTTGCAAAACCCTTGGTTTTTGTATGTTTTTTTGACGCACGATTTTGAAATCCTTCCGAAACCGATGGGTTTTGAAGATTTTCGGCATACGCCCGCGACGACGCGCGCGTCTGCACTTCGTCCCATTTTTTTGCAGAGGATTCTCGCGACGGCACACGCGCAAGGGCGTTCGACAGATTTCGACATGCGCGCGCGCGCGAAGCCCGTTTGGTAGCATTTTGTGAAAATCTCAAAAAAAGAGCAATGGTTTTCTTTCGATGACGCAAGAGCTCGCGCGGAAGCTTTCTTAGCAAATCAGTGTTGCGAAACCCTGTGTTTTTGTAGGTTTCTTGGGAACTCGATTGCGAAATCTTTCCGGCACCGAAGGTTTTTGAAGGATTTCGGCATGCGCGTGCGACGACGCGCGCGTGTGCACTTCGTCCCATTTTTTGCAAGGGATTCGTGAACAAGTGTTATGTTATAACAAAAAAGGTCACCGTATAGTTTTTTCAAGGGAACCTCAGGGGGGGGAAACCGGCCTAGCTGGGATGATACGGTTTCATATGTAGGATGGACGAATGTGCATAATATTTATGAAATCATATTATCCCAGGGGGAAGCGTTAAGTCTGGGGGGGGGGGGGTAGAGTCTGTTCTCTTGTCAGAAAGGAGAACTCACCCTGCCGAATTTGAAGTTGTCGACTCCAATGCTCGCGCAATCATCCCACCCACCGACCCGCAACTTGGTTTGCAAAACCCATGCGGAGGCGATTGCGATGAGTGTTCGACGTTGGCTGGTGCATCTCTGCTGCCGCGCTAGCCCGCGCCTGCTCGCGCTACGGCCCGCTAGTTTTGCCGCGACCGACGCGAACGCGGTGGCATTGACCGCGCGGCGCATCCCAGAGGGCACTTCAGTGCGAGTCGGCGACTTGGGCGGGCGCGGTATCATGGCAACGTCGACAACGGTACACAAGATGATGATCGTAGCGCTGCTGGTGACGATGCTGACAGCGACGACGGTGCGGCCAGTGACGGCGCAGATGTTGATCACGCCGGCGACGATGACGGCGTCCTCGCGTCGATTATGAAAATTTGAGAAAGAGTTCGACATGCGCGCGCGGCCGACGCGCGAGAGCGGCCGCATGGTATTAGTTGACTCGGATCGTGCCCCCCTCCCCAGCACGCGCGCAACGGCGTTCGAATGATTTCGGCATGCGACGCGAGAGGCCCGCGTGGCAGAATTCAAAACCAATGTCGAACACCCGTATTTAAAAATGATACTTAGATACATATGTATATATGAGTTATATTTTGTATATATATATATATATATATATATTTGAATGAGAAATACGTTAAAAACACTTTTCCGTATTATTCATTTTCTTTCTCGAACAATTCGCAAGAGCGCGCGCGCAAGTTTTTTTGAATACGAATGTTTCGAAATCATGTTTTTTTTGTACGGTTTCGGGACACTCGGTTTTGAATTCCTTACGGCGTTTAAGGTTGTTGACTGATTTTGGCATGCGTGCGCGACAACGCGCGCGCGTGTGCGCATTTTTTTGCAACACATATTTTTGCGACCGCGCGCAAGCAAGGGCGTTCGAAAGTTTTCGACATGCGCGCGCGAAGCCCTCTTGGGAGCATTTTATTCAAATGTTGGGGGAACAAATTTTTGTTGGAAACATCGGAAAAGCGCGTGCGTTGTTTGTGTGTTGTCAACAACTCCTTGTCACAGAAACTACTGTTGTTTTCCGTGTTTTGTGGACGCTCTTATTTGAAATCCCTACGGCGTCGAAGGTTTTGAAGGATCTCGGTCTGCGCGCGCGACGACGCGCGCGTGCGCACTTCGTCCCATTTTTGGAAAAACACAGGATGTTTGAACACTGAGGATTTGTGATCCGCGAGTGCGCGCGCATAGTAGTTTTTTGCAGAAGATGGCGGGGGGTGTCGCTGCTGGTTCGGGTGGGATGGTATGAATTCAGAAAGTGACATATAAGAAAAGGAGCGAATAATCCGGTGGGCGGTCTGCTTTACTTTTTCAGAAAGGGCAATTCACCAGCCTGCACCGCGCGTGGTACCCGTCAGTGTTCGTCGTCACCTGCAGTGTCCCAGCAATTCGTCCCACCCGCCCACCTGCAGCTTTCCAGGGAAACTCAGCACTGGCGACATGGCGCGAAGACCCTCCTTAAGTGCGGATCCCTGTTTCGGGCGGGCGAGGGCTCTTCCGAAGTCGCCCCGCGGAGTCCCCCACCTCGACCCATTCACCTGGGCAGGAAGGGCCGTGGAGAAAGGCAGGAGGAAAAGGAGGATGAGCAGGAGGAGGTCCACTTAAAACCCAAGAGTCATCAACGATGTTGGAATTAACCCTCCTTCCACGCTCCTTCGTCATAGGCCCTTTCCAACGGTTCATTTCCATTGTGGGAATTGCTTTGTTGGAAGACAACCGCTTGACGACCTTGAAGCATGCCAGAACATAGTTCTCGGGATTCCAACGCCACGGATCAACCTGACGGCTGCGTCCTGACGATCTGGAACCGTGCCAACACGCCACTTTTGGGACTTCAACACCGCGAGCCAACATAACGGTTGCACCCGCGTAATCCTGAATCCGTCCCAAACACGATTTCTGGCACGTTCATCATGGCTTCCCAGAAATTCTTGCATTTTTCAGCGAATAATGTGCGTGGCGCTAAGGCGAGAACCACAATTTGAAAAGGAGCCGCCCTCAATCCGTGAATTTTTTGCAATTTTTTAGATCGAATGTGCGCGGCGCTAAGGCGAGAACCACATTCAGAAAACAACCCGCACTCAATCCGTGAAGCTTTTGAAAATGCTTAGGACGAGTGTGCGCGGCGCTAAGGCGAAAGCCACATTTTGAAAAGGAGCCGTCCTCAATCCGTGAAGCTCTTGCAGTTTCAAGCGAATGTGCGCGGCGCTAAGGCGAGAGCCACATTCTAAAAACGACACGCCCTCAATCCGTGAAGCTCTTGAACATTTTATAAGCGAATGTGCGCGGCGCTAAGGCGATAACCACATTTTGAAAATGACCCGCCCTCCACCTGTGAAATTGTTGTCGTTTTTTGCGCTTCAGAGTCATAATGGTGAGGAAGTCTCAGGCGAAACGCCTGGCCCGCCCTGAAAACGGGCCTCGGGGTGCGACAGGGAGAAGTCTCAGGCGAAACGCCTGGCCCGCCCTGAAAACGGGCCTCGGGGTGCGACAAGGAGAAGTTATCTTTAAGGAGAAGAAATGGGGGAGGAGGAGGAGGCAGAGGAGGAGGAGGAGGAGGAGGAGGAGGAGGAGGATGAAAGAGGAGGAGGAGGAGCAGGAGGAGGAGGAGGAGGAGGAGGAGCAGGAGGAGGAGGAGGAGGAGGAGGAGGAGGAGGAGGAGGAGGAGGAGGAGGCCGTGACGCCCGCCAAACTCCCTGGTCGCTTGAGCCCGACTTGCGCAGGGCAAGGCGGACCGTGTCCAGTTCGGAATAGGCCGGGGCCGAGGTGGCCCAGCTCTGGGGGAGAAATGGGTCCACCCCTCGTCGCCACGCCACGGCTGGACGCGACTCGCAAAGCTTCCAGGTACTGACCCCTGGAGGGGCCTTGGGGACCGATTTTGAGCGAATCTGCCCTTACTCTTTGAGGATGAAAGAGCCCCAGACCCTAATAACACGATGAAGACGTAGCCCCACTGAGGTCCCCGTCTTCGCATCAGGGATGCTAATTCTGGGCGGTTTGGTTCGATGCACCCGCAGAAAAAAAGGGCCCTCTGTCCCTAACGCTCCTCGCCCTCCCAGCTCAGGTCCCCTCCAGAAGGGTTAGGGGTCCTTGCTTGGTCAGTCGCTTAGACCCTCTATCCCTAATGTTCCTCGCCTTCCTACCTCAGGTCCCCTCCCAGAGGGTGAGGAGCCCTTGCTTGTGCTTGGTCCATCGCTTATCATCCCCCTTCTGACCCAATCCTCTGGGCCTGTCCAGCTCGGGCCCCCAGGCCGCCTCTGGTGTCCAGTGCTGCCCCGCAGCTGGCCGGCCCACCTCTCCCGCCCGCGCGCCCGCGCGCCGACCGGGAGTGCGGGGGGGGAGGTCCCGCGGTCAAGCTGCCGGGGCCATAGAGGACTGGTCGCTATTGTCGCCGTCCTCGACGACGACGACGACGACGACGTAACGACGACGACGACGATAACGACGACGACGACGTATCGACGACGACGGTAACGACGACGACGTATCGACGACGACGATAACGGCGACGACGTATCGACGAAGACGACCACGACGTAACGACGTAACGCCGACGACGTATCGACGACGACGAGAACGACGACGTGACGACGACGAGGACGACTTCGCAATGGACAAGCCTTGCCCCCAGATCTTGACGACGACGACGACGATGACGACGACGACGTAACGACGACGACGACGTAACGACGACGACGACCATAACGACGACGACGTATCGACGACGACGACGAGAACGACGACGACGTAGCGACGACGACGACGCAACGACCAAGCCTTGCCCCCAGATCTTGCGCGGCCGCCGCGTGCGCCGGAAGGGAGGGGAGGAGGGAGCATGGGGCAGGCGAGGCAGAGAGGTGGGGGCGGGGGCCGAGGGGAGGCAGGGAAGGGCTCGAGGTTCGCAGGGTTGCTTCGCGGCGTCGTCGCGGGTCGCTGCACCTGCGGAGGCGGCAGAGGAGAGGGCGTAGGAGGAGGAGGAGGAGGAGGAGGAGGAGGAGGAGGAGGAGGAGGAGGAGGAGGAGGAGGAGGAGGAGGAGGAGGAGGCAGCACAGGAGGAGTACGAGGAGGATGCGGCGGAGAAGGAGGAGGAGGATTTGTCCTAAGGCTGTGGCCAACGAGGTCCCGGCGTCAGCGCCCCGCAAGAGCCTGAAGGATCGGCCAGGGGAGTGGCAGCGAGATCTCGTTTCGATGCCTACTCTTTTTGACGTCTTCTCGACGACGTTTCGACGTCTTTGTTTCGACGCGTTGGCTTTTTTGCCGTTCTTCGAGGATGCCTTGGCGTTCGTGGAGGAGGTGGGTGACGTTTTTCGACCTCCGTTTACCTTCGGCGGCGAGCGAGAGGGGCAGTGAACAGTGGCGGGCCTTCTCAGCAGACTCGGAAGCCCCCTGGCCTCCTAAAAAGTTTTCTGAGCTTTCGCCGGAGAACGCAGAAAACCTCTCGGAAGGCACGAGGGCTTCTGAGAAGTCCCGCCGCCTTCTGAGATCGGCGTCACCCCAACATACTTATGCTATATGTGCGTGGCCCCCCCCCCAGGGGCGACGCGCGCACCCAGAAGTCTTTCAGTATTCGCGTCGTGGCGGGCGCTTTCTGGCCACGTCGCTCGGGAAACGACATACTACAAGATGGGTATACTATATGTTCGGGTCGGACGCGCGCCTCCAAGGAGGACATGTAGTATTAGTATGTCCCTGTGCGTGCCATGAGAAGGCCTTCTTCTCACTTCCCCTCCGCGCTCGTCGCCGACATCGTCTGGGCCCATCCAGGAGCGGCCGCCTGGCCCGCTCCGCGTCACCCCCCCTTCCCTTGCTCCTTCCCCGCTCCCCCTGGCCGCTCTCTCCCTCTGCCATCGAGGGGGACAGCGACGATGAGGAGGAGCGGGATCGAGGGCTGGTATTCATCGTCCGCGAGGCTTGGTTCAGGGGAGGAAGATGCATTCTCACAGGCCGCCTCCCCCCCACTCGGAGCTTCGGTGCGCTGCTCCGCTCCGTCGTCGTCCGCGTCCTTGTCCGCGTCTTCGTCTGCGTCTCTGTCCGCGTCTTCGTCCGCGTCGTCGTCGTGGTCGTGGTCGTGGCCGTCGTCGTCGTCGTCGTGGTCGTGGTCGTGGTCGTCGTGGTCGTCGTCGTCGTCGTCGTCGTCGTCGCCGTCGTCGTCGGGGCCCTTGGCGGGACAGCAAGTCGCGGCCGTGGCTGCGGAGGGAGCTCGCCGTGTGGGCGCCGCGTGCCCTCCCGCGTCGCGGGCGCGCCTCGTGGTGCGCGCCCTGCGCTCGCGGGCACGGCCCACGGCGAGCGGCCAGGCAAGAATCTCTGGGTGTTTCTAGTGTTTCACCACCCACCCAGCCACCCCAACCCAACCCGAAGCCCTCAATTTGCCTTCCATTTCCAGTGGGGGGGGGGTCGGGGAACGTTGAAAAAACACATGGAACCCGTACCCCCCCAACCCGAAATTCGGGTCAAATTCGGGTCTTCGGATTGGGTTGGGGTGGTCTGGTAGGTAGTCAGTGTTAAGTCGGGTGTGTCCCTCTGCAGATGAAAACATGGTCCGGGGACGATTTTTCCAGGATTTCCGGACTATTCATACTTCGTCGAAAATCTCCCTGTAGGAGGACACGCCCGACCTAACTGTAGTGGCCCCTGAGATCCTGGCGTTGCATTTTTTTCGCAACGAGCGTTTTCGCTCAATCTCGGGCCCTGGGGCTCTCACAGATCGATCTGGCTCGAAAAAGGATGCAGAAAGATGGGGTCCAGGGCTCCGGTCGTGATTTTTGCGCTGTTGCAGTTTTTTGCAACGTCGGATCTCAGGGGCCTTCGGCCCATCCGTCCAGCGTGCCTGGGTCGTTGACCAGAGGCATCTGGTAGGCGTCTCGGGCCTTTGTCAGAGCCGTCTTGGGGGCCTTGGTGGCCGTCTTGGGGTGATCTCTGGGGCCTCTTGGGCCGTCTTGGGCACTCGTCAGACCGAAGAACTGAGCAGAGCATCGTGCAAAATAACAGGTCTCAGGGGACACGTGGGGCATGTGCACTTCCAGCCACGCTCTGAGACCTCCAGAGAAGAGAAGTCATGCGCGACGCCCCAGGATCGCCTGGAAACGCCCGAGGGCATACTCAACACTGAACTCGAAAGGACCTGAGGACACTCCACTCAACTCAGTGCCTCGCGGCACGGCGGCGGATTTTTGCTCAACTTTTTTTTGTCTGCAAGGGCTTTATACGAGCGGCCGCGGGCCGTTGTGGGCCCCGGAACCAGTGACTTGATGGTCTCCTGTACCCGGCATGGTCTCCTGTATGGTCTCCCGTATGGTTCCCCAGGGGGGGGGGGCCTTGGTCGGCCTTGGCATCGGTGACCCGATGGTCATCCGCACGGTCTCCCGCATGGTCTCGTCCCGCGGTCTCTCCCGCACGGTCGCCCGCATGGCATCTTCCGTCGGGCTGGTCTCCGCCTGGTCTGCCGTATGGCCTCCTGTGGGGTCTCCCGTGGGGCCTCCCGTCTGGCCTTCCATCTGGTCTCCCAGATGACCTGCCGCATTGGTCTGCCGTGTGGTCTCCCGTCTAGTCTGCCGTGCGGCTTCCCGCACGGTGTCTCGTATGATATCCTGGATGGTCTGCCGCATGGTTTGCCGCATGGTCTGCCGTGTGGTCGCCCGTACGGCTCCCCGCATGCTCAGTAGAGCATGCTGCTCTCCGCTTTTACTAGGCGGTTGGGTTGTGCCGTTTGGGGGGCCCTCTGCCGCCACGGTGAAATCTGGGGCTCCCGGATTTTTGCTTGGGGGGCATCGTCGGCAGCTCAGGACAAAAAACTCCTGGGGTGGGAAGCTCGGCGTCGGCGCCGGTGCTTCCACTTGTCGAACACGGACCTCATTTGGGTCGGCCCCGCTCAGTCTGGCTTCGCCCCGCTCAGTCTGGCTTCATCTCGGGTGTTGCTAGAAGTGCCCCTGGCCCAAGGTGCCCCCAGGATTCTCCGGGTGGCCCAGACGGCCTCCAGAGCACCCCTAACGAGGCCGAGAGGGCCCCAGGGGCCCCAAAATGGAGCCAAGAACTGGGGGTGCCTTGGGCCAGGGGCACTTCTAGCAACACCCGATCGTCCTGCTCGATCCGGCCTCGACGTCCGCCCTCGTCCTCTTGCTCCACAGCCCCTTACCGTGCGGACGAGGGCCTCCGGGAGGTGCCTCCGGAGGCAGCCTTCCCTCCTGCGCGCCGGGCGCCGGGCGCCGCTGCGGGCGCGGGCAGGGCGGCGGCGAGCCCAGGGGGAAGGAGAAGGGGGCGCGCCTTCGCAGAGGGCTCGAAAGTCCCCCAGCCTTCCGAGAAGTTCTCGAAGCCTTCCCCGAAGCCACGGAAGAGGGAAACGAAGCATGACATAAAAACATAACAATTCGGATGTCCGCGCGGACCTCCGAGTTTTTATGTTTTTATGCCATTATTCGCAGACAGCTTCTTAGAATGCGCGCGAGAGCTTCTGAGAAGCCCCCCGCTTTGAGAGAACCTTCTCCTCCTCACTTCCCCCCTCGCGCGCCGCCCAGTTTGGTTCTTGGGGTCAGATCTCGGGTCACCGGCGGCTGTTCGGGACGGTCAGGGCCTCCCTGGAACGCTCTCGGCGAGGCGCAGCTGCTGGCAAGCATCCCGAGGCTGGGAAACCGCCGAGAACGGACGAGACCGTCCGAAAACCTGGCACCTCGAGCCTCGAACTTCGAGCCTCGCTCGCGCCCTCGGCGAGGCGCAGCTGCTGGCAGGCATCCTGAAGCTGGGAAACCGCCGAGAACGGACGAGAACGGCGGAAGACCCGGCACCTCGAGCCTCGAGCCTCGAGCCCCGCCCGCCGCCAGCGCGGGCCCTGCGGCGGCGGCGGAGCGGCGGAGAAGGCCTCCTTCTCATTTCCTTGAAGTCTACAGGAAGGATATTGAAGGGTGGTCCAAACATAGTCCGGAGACGAGCTTTTGCCCATTTTGGAGCACTTTTTTTTTGTTGGGGGGGGGGGGGGGGGGCGTATATACATATATATATATATATATATTTATTATATACAATATGTATTATTCAATATATACATAAATGTATATATATATGTATATATATATATATATATATATGTATTGTTTATTTGTTTTTTTTCTGTCGCCCAGAATCCGCCTGTAGGGGGACATGCCTTACCTAACACTTCCCCCCCTGGCTCGCCTCCGACAGGAGGGCGGCGAGAAGCTCTCCTCCACGCTGTCCGCCACCGCCCCAGCGCTGAGCGGGTCCAAGGACCAGCGCCCCTCGCTGGGGAGGGAGGACCACCCGGAGATCTGAGGATAAAGTTTTTGTTCATGGGCGAATCGTCCACCACCACTACCACATGTAGGACGGGGGAGAAGGGAGGATGAGGAGGTCCTCCTCCTCCCCCTCCTCGTCCTCGTCCTCCTCCTCCTCCTCCTCCTCCTCCTCCTCCTCCCTCTCCCACCTATGGTAGTGGTGGTGAAAGATGGGCCCATCATTTTTTCAATCCAGCGGCTTTTCCTTGATTTCGGCCTCTGGGGCCCCCTATCGTGGCCGGGGGCTATCAATAGTGGATCCGGGACGAAACGCCCCCCCCGGGGAAGGGGCCGGCACCTCCCTGGGGCCGCGGATGGATAAATCATATCAGCGGATGTCAGGGTAGTTAGGGCTCTGAGTGCTCCGACAGTTTATGTCTATGCGTTTTCCAGCCACCTTCTGGTCGCAAGGTGCGGAAGGTGGAGGGTCAGGTCAGAAGGTCCAGGAATGACATTCTTTCGACATCGTCGCCGTCGCCGTCGCCGTCGCCGTCGCCGTCGCCGTCGCCGTCGTTGTCGTCGTCGTCGCCGTCGTCGTTGCCGTCGTCGTTGACGTCGTCGTCGTTGTCCTGGTCGTCGTCGTCGTCGTTGTCGTTGTTATTGTCGTCGTTTTTGTCGTCGTCGTCGCCATTGGTCGTGGTCGTCGTTGTAGTCGTCGTCGTCGTCGTCGTCGTCGTCGTCGTCGTCGTCGTCGTCGCCGCCGAGGTGCCCGCGCTGGCAGCGTCAGGTCGAGCCGCCGCACGCGCCCCCGCGCCGCCCTGGGCCCCGCAGGTTATCCCGCGCTTCTGGACGCCCAAGCTGCAGGTGTGCTTGCCGCCCTGAGACGACCACGACGACGACGCCGACGAAGAAGTTGACGACGACGACGCCGACGACGCCGACGACGCCGACGACGACGACAAAAACGACGCCGACGACGCCGCCGATGACGACGACAAAAACGACGACGACGACGTCAACGATGACGACGACGATGACAAAAACGACGACGACGGCGACGACGCCGACGACGCCGACGACGACGACAAAAACGATGCCGACGACGCCGACGACGCCGACGACGACGACAACGATGACAAAAACGACGACGACGGCGGCGACGACGACAAGAACGACGCCGACGCCGACGACGACGACAAAAACGACGACGACGATGACGACAAAAACGACGACGACGACAACGACGACGACGGCGACGACGACGACCAGGACGCCTTCGCGTCGTGAAACATGTTTTTGTTTGTTTGTTTGTTTGCTGTTTTTTGGTGTGTTTTCGTTCGCCCTCGCTTTGCGTTTCTCTACTTTCGACCTCTGCAGCCCTCGCCAGGCCCAGGGGCCTTCAAGAGCCGACTCGGGACGAGCAAAACCGGTGCCAGGGAGATGGTCGGGACTTCTGGGGACCGCGCACGCATCGCAAAAGAGTGAGGACATCGCCCGCCAGAGGTTTCATCATGAGCACCTGGCGATGACGGGGCGTGACCGGGGAGGTGCCAGGGGCCCGATCATTTCACGGTTCGCGCCAGCGTCGCCCGGGCGTGCCTCAGAGAGGCTCATTCTCATAGGGCGCTGGCGCGAGCCATGACGTGACGGGGGGGGGTCGGGGCCAGTCACCAGCGTGATCGCGAATGATAATCCAACGTGCTCCTTTCGTCTGTCGGACGCGTGGTGGCTCGAAAGAGTAAGCTTTCTTGTTGCCAGGCCTCCCAAATGGGGTCTGAGTAGATGGGATCGGAGGATCGCGCCACACCGCCGATGCATGGGCGATGCGATGCGGCTCGATGTGGAGCGCCCGATTTTTTCCACGCCGACGGCACCGATGTATCGCCGACGTCCCCGATGCATGTCTGACACCTTGGTGAGGCTTCGGGTTGCGGACAGCCCCTTGAGGCAGTCACGGCCGGCCTCAGTAGGTCCCCCCAGTAGCCTGGCGCGGCATCGGCGCCCAGTGGCGCCGCCGGAGGCGGCGCCAGGGTGTTTCTAGGCTGAAGTCGGGCCTGTCCCTTTACAGGAGGAATGTCCAAACGTAGTACACAAATAGTAAGGGAACCATTTTTTGAGTTTTTTTTTTTTTTTTTTTTTTTTTTGTTTTGGGTGCATTTTTGAACATGTTTGGGATGTTTTTAATTTTTCGTCCAACGTCCCAATGTAGGGGGACTCGCCCGACCGAAGTCTAGGCCTCGTAGATGGAGTCGGAGCAGATGGGGTCGAAGGATCGCGCCGCATCGCCGATGCTTCGCCGATGCATCGCCGATGTATCGCCGATGTGGCGAGATCCTCAGACCCCATCTACTCGGACCCCATTTGGGAGGCCTCCATTTGAGGGGGAGGAGGAGGACCCAGAAATGCAGAAGGGGGAGGAGGAGGAGGAGGAGGAGGAGGAGGAGGAGGAGGAGGAGGAGGAGGAGGAGGTGGAGGAGGGAGGAGGAGGAGGAGGAGGAGGAGGAGGAGGAGGAGGAGGAGGAGGAGGAGGAGGAGGAGGAGGAGGAGGCCTCCAGTGCTGAGACCGCTCCCGGCCAGTCGGGGGGCCTGCTCGCCGGGGGGCTGTCCTGTGCGGCCGCCCGCGGCCCTGCCAGTTCTGCCGCCGCGCAGGGCCTTCGTCTTGCGCCTCTGGAGGCCCGCTTCGGGCCCCCGTTCGTCCCGGGGCACGGACGTCGAGGGTTCCCGGGGGGCCCCGTTGGTCTCGAGAGGGATTCGATGGAGGGCTTCTCCGCAGGGCTGAGGTGACCCGTCCTCGTCCTCCTCCTCCTGCTCCTCCTCCTCGTGTCGCCTACGGCCCCGAAGGAACCCGTGCAGGATTCGAGCCTGTGGTCTAAGAAGAGACACGGCATGAGCATTAAAATTTTGGCGCTCCGCGCGCGTCAGGGAGGGGGTTCCAGCGCAGATCCAAGGAATCGAACCGTCGAAAGTTTATTTTAACGTAGTTTTTTCTCCACATGTTTCGTGGGGTTCTGGTTTTCTTCTCACCCGCGTCACCCGCGTTCCTCAGTCACACCTTCTCCTCCTCACCTCCGCCCGCACAGCACTGCTCAGCACAGCTCAGCTCAGCTCAGCACAGCACAGCAGGCGCAGGGCACGGCAGGCGTGGTACTTTCTCAACATATCTCCGCACACGCATCATATCTACGACACGCTCACCACGCAACACATGCGCGACAATAGGAGGCGCGGCACTCTCTCCACACCAGAGGGGGCGCGCAGGGGGTGGTCTCTCACCGCGGCCGCTATGCGCGCCTTTCGTCCAGGGCATAGCAGGCGTGACACTTTCTCGACACCGTAGGGGGTGCGCAGGAGGTGGTCTCTCACCGCGGCCGCTATGCGCGCCTCTCGTGCATGGGCATGGCAGGCGTGGCATATTCTGGACACCAGAGAGGGTGTCCGTAGCCATTTTGGCTCGAGCGGTTGCATGGTCTCGCCCGCTCGCGCTCCCTTCTCGGCGAGGCGCTGCTGCGGGATGGCGGGGCCTAGAGGGGCTCTCTCTGCTGCCGACGCGGCCCTCCTGGTGGAGGCCGCGGTGAGGGCAGCCGTGGGAAAGGGCGCCCCCCGACGCATGGCGGCGGCCATCGCCCGCTCCGCCATCTCTGCCGCGCTCTTCGCGCTGGCGCCGAGGCGGGGTGCGGCGGACGCCGAGGCGGAGGGTGAGGAGCCCGAGCACGACTGGGACCCAGGCGGAGCTCGTGGAGCTGAGCGCCAGGTCCGAGGAGACGATCGTGGAGGCGGAGCTGGTGCCGTCTTGGCGGCCAAAGCTGTGCGGCGCAGGCGTCGCCGCCAGCGGCTGGCTGAGGCGCGCAGGGCCGCGGCTGGGCAAGCTGCTGGAACCGCTGGTGCTGCCGCAGGTGGTGGCCCCGCGGCCGCCCCCTCGGCCGCCGTGGCGGCCGAGGCTGTCGACCTGGCCATGGAACAGGACGGCTTCAACACGCTCGACGACTCCTGGGCTGACGCGCTCAGCCGCCCCTCGGCGCGGGGGCGGCCAGCGCGGCCGGCTGAGGCGCCCGTGGCGCCTGCGGCTGGCGGAGCGGCGGCCGCGTCGACGCCTGGACCCTAGCAGGCGATGGCGGCGCGGCCTTCGGCCCCCGTCGGGACGTCGGCCTCCTTGCCCTTCCTCGGCGGGTCCGTGGAGGAGCACGAGGCGCGGTCCGCCCTGTTGAAGCGCGCGGCGGCGATCATCTCGATCGGCCGCTGACCCGCTCGTCCTGTCCCTGGAATGCCTCTTCCTGGAGCTGGGCGGGGACGGGGGTGGTCGCGGCACCCCCGTGGTATAGTTCCGCGTAGGCTTGGGCTCGTCGCGGAGATCGGCGGTCCACAGTAGCGTTTCTCTTCTGAGGCCTGCAGGGCCGCCAGGGCTCTGCCTTGCACTGGGCCTGCCCCCAGTGCTCGAATCCTGTGGCCGCGGAGTGTTGAGCTCAAAAAAAACAAACACCAGAGGGGGTGCGCAGGGGGTGGTCTCTCACCGCCGCCGCTATGCGCGCCTCTCGTCCAGGGCATAGCAGGCGTGGCATTTTTTCGACACCGTAGGGGGTGTGCAGGGGGTGGTCTCTCACCGCGGCCGCTATGCGCGCGTCTCGTCTAGGCGCAGCAGGCGCGGCATTTACTCGACACCGTAGGGGGTGCGCAGGGGGTGGTCTCTCACAGCGGCCGCTATGCGCGCCTGTCGTCCAGGCTCATCAGGCGCGGCATTTTCTCGACACCAGAGGGGGTGCGCAGGGGGTGGTCTCTCACCGCGGCCGCTATGCGCGCCTCTCGTCCAGGTCATAGCGGGCGTGGCGCTCTCTCGACACCAGAGGGGGGGCGCAGGGGGTGGTCTCTCACCGCGTCCGCTATGCGCGCCTCTCGTCCAGGGCATAGCAGGCGTGGCACTGTCTCGACACCGTAAAGGGGTGCGCAGAGGGTGGTCTCTCACCGCGGCCGCTATGCGCGCCTCTCGTCCAGGGCATAGCAGGCGTGGCACTGTCTCGACACCAGAGGGAGTGCGCAGGGGGTGGGTACTCTCAGAGTGTAGGGCGAGCGGCATTTTTAGGAGGACGCAAGGGTGCACAAGCCTGGGGGGGGGGGGGGGGGGCGCTATCATCATCATCATCCTCATCATCGTTATCCTCCTCCTCATTCTCATCATCATCTTCATCAAGAGCTGTAGCCATCCTGGCTCATGCAGGTCCACGCAGCTCGATAGGTGGACGATGGTGACCGCCAGTGATTCCCCGTCAAGGGTAAATTCCCTGTCGTGGCGCCCCAGATGCGCCATCACCGCGCTGCCACCTTCGCGCGAGCAGCTCAAGAACGCAATGTTGGAGATGGGCGCCGAGGTGAACCTAGATGGTTTGCGCGCGTGTGTTGTCGAGCATGGGAACGTTTTGGTACACAGCGCATTGATGCTTGCCAGCGACAGCCTCTGAGTTGGTGGCCTGGGGCGCTCCTCGCCAGGCGCGACAATTTGCCGCGTTAACGAGGCGACGACGATGCAAGGAGGCAGTGCTTGGTCAGGTACTTGCAGAACCCTTCTTCCAGCGGGTTCGAAGCTGAGCAGCCGGGGGTGGCGGAGGGTGGCGATGGCTCGCCGTGGGTGAAAGTTCGGCGGGTCGGCGACGCCGGCAACGGGCGCGTTGCCGTCCCTGCGAGGGTCGCGCCCATGAAGTCCACTCCCATGCAGGCCATCACTCCCTTGCGGTCCCCAGCAGTTCTGCTTGCTACCTCTGTTCGTTCCACGGGCGCCCCTCGCATTCAGCTGTCCCCTTAGCTGGCGGAGACGGACCGCCGTTGGGCAGCAGGGCGTAGCAGGCGTGGCACTTTCTGGATACCGTAGGGGGTGC